AAGAAATAGTGGTTGAAAACTTCCTTTGAGATGAACGAGAAAGCAAGAGGGTCTCTTTACTCAAGAGATCGATTTTTCAAAGTACATGTGAGGATTTTATAGTTCGTCGTATGAGAGCAAATTACCAGCAGCATGGCTATAGCAGGGCCTTACCGTAGTTCCAAAAGACAGAGCTAGAGAAAGGGAGGCCAATACTAGTAATACCAGGCGAACCTCGGCAAAAATAATGAGGTGAATAAGACCTAGAACATATCCTACACAGACAACGGATTACTGACGTCTAGGCAGAGTGCACTCAGAACTCGGAGTAAATCGTTTCTGTGTGGAAAATGTAAAGATGGGCGGAGGGAACAGATACAGTGATATAAAAAGCCAAAATGATAGGAACAGCAAACAATAATCACAATAATGTCCAAACAATTCCAACAAACTAGCATATTAGTTACTGAGAAAAGGCTGTTGGCGTGGTTAACTAAGGCTTTCCTATTTATTAGCCAGGCACTACTGAAAGGTCAGATGCAAACGGCAGCCAAGAGAATGCAGTCTCGAGTGAATGAGGCTGCGAAAATAGTCTACGCAGTGAAACATTAAGGATTATTAGGCTATATCTAATCAGTAGAATGCATCCTTCCTAGTTCGTGGATATATACATGGTGAGGATTCCCGCATTTTCGGTTCTTCTTCCCCAGCTTCAAATGCATCGGGGCCAAACGGGTAGAGTTAGTACAGCAAATATTCAGATGGACTCATCAGCATTAAGCAAGTCATAAAAATGTCTACTACCCAACTGAGGTGTCTAAATCGTCAAATAGATCTGCGTGTACTGATATTTAGGAAGTCAGCCCTCTACAGCTGGTAACTGTGGGCTCTGAACATAGAATAAATCAGTCTGAACTCGGAGCGGCAACACGAGGATATTCTGAGCAAAGCCAGAAGGATGGTTGTGGTTTTGACTTATCCCCTATTGTCTGCTCCACGAGTTCAGTGTAGCAATCCTAAATCATATCCCATCGCCTAACTGAAAGCGGCAAAGATACAGAGGAAGTAGAAAGGCTAAGCATGAAATCTGGTTAAAAACACCCATTGAAGACATAAAAGAGGCTCCTGGACCATCAGTTGTCGCTGAGCTTTGGCAGTGGACAAGTACCTACCGCGAAACCATTGAGGCCAGCTGTATTAGGGATGACCAAAAGTAGAAGAGGTACGAAGGAGACTCGTTCAGCACTGACCATATCGTACTTTTACCTGATACGACTGTGATCATGCCTGATCTAGTCGGCCTTGACGATGCCGCGGACTGTACCTCTCTATGCGTAACGATTTGCGGCGATCTGGAAAGCCCAATCCATTATATTTTCCAGCGATGGAGACCGAATATCGAAGATCCAAAAACCGTTTTCATGCCTTGACGAATTGTGTTGAGGCAGAAAGATGGGTTGCCCGTTAGCCTCGCTGCTGGCTATCTGGCGCGTCCACAGACGGCGGATAGTGAAACAACCCTCAGCAAAGGTTGGCTGCGAAATAAGTAGGCTCTTGGGTTTGGCGAATAGGCAGTCGCCGACGAGCAGGGATAGTGTTACCAGGGCGCACCGATTTCCTTATAAAATGGCGCAAGTCCTAAAGACGGCACTATGACATGGCGATCGTGAACCGCCATTAGGTAGGTTTGCTTGCCACCGCTGTCTTGTGGTTAGGTGCTTGAGCCAAAGTGCTAGAGGAGACAACCTCGAATAAATAATCCGAGCGGCTTTTGGGGACTGTGTTACAAATCCATCAGAAACCTCATTGGCCATACCATCTCTGAACGTCCATCATACCTCAATGAAATTACTAGCGAACCGTAGATGAGTTTTGGCGCGATGACTGGTCAAGCCTTAGCCCAACTGTCCTAGTCCGACGGCCCACACGGGCCAAACTTGGGTCCGGATGATGGAATTACCCTGCCGATTGGCAAACAGGACTTTTTAAGGGGTCTAGAGGAATAAGGACGGGCTTACTGTCTGATGTTTTCCTCGATAGTCTCCAGAGTTTCAGCATCTGCCTCCAGCTGAGTGTGAGCTGTGCTCAGCATCTTTGTCGCAATCTTGGTCAGTACACTTTCCTGCCCATTGTATTTTATGCAGTTTTGCAGCAACAGATCGGCGTCAGCAAAGAACTCCTCCCGACTGTGGTACCGATGCTCCTTTACCAGCCGCTCCAGTGTCGATAAGTCCATCGGGTGAGGAATTGTCTTGTAGTAGTCCTAGGAGTCAGACACGAAAAAAAAGTGGTGTAAAAAAACCTACTAGGACAGAGGCAAAAGTCGCTGAAAAGGTTAGCAACGCACAGGGTAGCGACGTTTATCCACGGGAAAATGAAACGCGCGACTGTTCTCCACTCCCCTCATCGCCTCAACAGCTTTTTGTAGGAGGAAGTTGAGGCTGACGAGGTCGTCCTCATCTAGCAAGGGGTTGACCAACGACTCTAGACGCATTAGCTTGGCCTCCTTGTGACAAAATTCCTCCATCACATAGGAGCACATTTTCTTTGCCGTTTCCGTGTATGCGCTATGCGGTCCTAAAAGGAAATTAGGTAGAAAGATACAAATTGCTTAACCGAAGAGCAATAGGGGAATGAAAGTTGGAGAAATATCGACCGCACAAATGGCTAGGTATGCAGTTCAAGCCCTGGAACACGTATAATATGGGCTCCCACGACACCCCATAATTAGAAG